GGATTGAATTATGTCCCCCCAAAACTCACTGAAGCTTGAATTGTATCCCCCATGTCTTAACAGAGGGTGGGAAATCCTATTATGGTAATTGAAAGGTGGAGCCTTGAAGAGGTGATTGGATTGTGGGACCATGCAGTAGTGAGTAGATTAAAAATGGTGGTCAGGGGTGTGGTTCTGAGGGCTTTAAAAGAAGAGGAGAGTCTGTCTTGCTCTCTCTGCTCACACTGTCGTGCCATGTGAGACCCCTGAGTCACTGTCACCACCACCAGATGGACTTTGTACTTCTCAGCCTCAGAAACTGTAAGCAGTAAATGTTGTTTTTCTTTATAAATCACCCAGTTTTAGGTATTTTGTTATAAGCAACAAAAATGGACTAATACAGGTCCCAACTTCAGGTCTCAACTTAATTCCTTCCTCTTCCTCCCCAAAAGCAATCACTAACTTCAAATTTTACATTATACACATTTTTGGACGTTTAAGTGTATGTGCATCTGCAAACAACATATAATATGTGTGTGTGTTTAAAAGTTTATGCGAATGGTCCTTTTACAAGAGATATATAATGGATTTTGTGTGTTTGTTTGCTTTTTAAATCAGTCTAAGGAAGTAACCACTTTATTCTTAGTCTATTGTGGATTTGTAGCAAAAGCAATACCGAATTTTATGAAATTTTTTCTCAGTATCTATATATAGTATCTATTTAGATGATCATATGGCTTTTCTCCTTTGCCCTATTTTATTTTATTGGATACTGTTGGCTTCCAACCTGATGTCCATCCTCCCTTTGTTTGTTAGGAAAGTTCCTATTTTATTTAGATAGCCATCCATCTGGGATTTTGACCTTCACCTCAGTACGGTAGGAAATCTAGATTAGTCTTACCAATCAGGGTGGTTCCATTGCCACTCTTAGTTTCATTGCTGTATTCCAGGCATGAGCATTTGGTGCAACTCTGATCTAGTGGGTGTTAGGGAAAGTCTGCCATAAGCTTCTGGGAAGTGGTTGGTTCCTGGATCCTTCAGTCCTAGAGATCTCAGCTCCAACCCATTTATGCATAACTGCTTCTTCTATCTCTCAACCCCCCATATGGAGTTCTGCATGTGGGTTTTGTATCATTCTTTTTGGACTGGTACTGCAGGGAGACTAGACTGAAGGGCTGAGCCTGGGACAAAGCAGTCTTAGGATTGATGATGGGGATGGCACACGTGTTCACTTGTGTGTTTACCAGTGGGTCAGGGAATGGGTTGGAGATGAGCTCTCAGAAGAGCCAGAGAGTCTTTGAGAATAACTTCCTGGAGTGAAAGCAAAATTCAAGTTGATCTCACAGTGTTGGTGTCCTCAGATTGTGAGTTTCTACTGTGACTCCAGAGCTTGGCTCTTGGGGAGATTGGTCTCTGATCTGCTGCTTTTGGGGCATGGATGGGGCTACCATTGCATTCCCGCCTGTATGGAAGGAGCTGGCTTGAGAGTGCACAGTGGATATTACATAAGGGGACTGCAGGGGCTCTGTTTTTGCAACTGTGACTGTATGGCCACCCCACAGTGTGAGGCACCAGAAAGCGAAATTCTAAAAGTGAGTAGGAAAGAGAACAAATTCATATTGTGAGATTGTTGCAAGAAGGAAATGTCACAATGGAGACAGGCAGGTGGAAATTTAAACTTCCACACTACAATTAAGGATGTTAACCTGCACAACACATTAACCTCACTGAGCCTCAGTTTACTCATTTTTTTTTTTTGTCTTTTGTCTTTTTTCCGTGTCCGGCAATGGATCGCAACCCTCAGTGTTGCTCCCGTACCGGACCGGGGACCGGCAACGGGATTGCAACCCTCGGTGTTGCTCCCGCGCCTCGCTCAGCCAGTGATCAGGAACCGGTCTGTATGTGGGATCCGAACCCTCGGGCGGGAGCGCCGCCGCGCTTCCCAAGCGGCGCACTATCCAGTGCGCCACCGGGCCGGCCCAGTTTACTCATGTTTAAAATGGAAATACTTTATGTTTATAATGAAATATTATATTTAAAGTAGGAGTACTTCTTAGAATACTAATGAGGATTAAATAAGATAATGCTTATGATTTGTTTAGTACCTTGGTCTTCAGACTAGGGCAATTGCCCCAGTGCAGAAAACGAATAATTTAGGAGCATATGGGCACAGGTGGTTTTTAAGTTAGTTTCCAGAGCCACCTCTTTATGTTGTCTTTCCTAAAATTGATCTATGTGAGAACTTAGCTGTGGACAAGACCACGAGGCAGTTTTTGTTTACCGTTTCCTCTTTCACGTCTCCTCTATTCCGACTTTACCATAAAGAGGCATTCCTCATCTTTCTATGGAGAACTGCCCCATGATGTAAAAGTTTCCAAGGTGTTAAGGAGACAGATGAAATAGTAGGACCTTATGTCAGCGTCAGTCCAAATGGCATTTAGAAAGTGTGGTCCCAGGCGTATGTCTTCTTGTAATTGAATTTGAATTTAATTTGGTCTTGAATCCACAGGTTCTAATCTACAGGAACAAGATGTTTTCATTAACAGAAGAAGGAGGAGGTTCCAGGCTTGGGAAATCATTGTTTCTGATAGTAACTTGACCCAGTAACTTCCTGGCAGGTCCAGAACAGACAGAAGACAGAGCTCACCATAGTCCCTAGCCTTTTCTTTTTTTTTTTTTTTTTTTTTTTTTTTTTTTTTTTTTTTTTT